AAGCTCCATTTAATTTTTATATTAAATACGAAACGAATTTTTGGAACCCACCGTCAGCTCCTCCCAAAATCCTCGGAGCGGGTTTTTTTATGGGCTGGGTTAGGTGACATCCCCGCACCGATATTTCCCCAAAATCTGGGTGGAAAACTTCTTATTTCTTTGAATTTCCCGTCCCAGCCTCCTGCTTCCCAACCTCTTGTCCGCGTCCGCTGGACGCTGCCGGTCGTCGCGGCACCGATCAAACCGCATCCCGGCGGTTTCTCTGGCTTCGGAAATTATTTTTACCGGAGCGCGGAGCTTTTCCCAGGTCTCTGTTGGTCCCTCAGCCACCCAGAAGGGATTTTTCCGTCTGTTTTCCGACCGTTTTAGACAATTAAAGGATGCGGGGCCATTGTGGGGGGGTCCAGACCCCCCCAGCCTCCAGCGCTCCTCCCAAATGACCAATTTAATTCCAAAATCTCCCCCCAAAATACTCAATTTGATAAATTACAGAGCAGAATCATCTTTAATAATAATAAAAAATTCTATTTATTCAAGTATTAATTGGGCTGTGGACTGGAAGGAGGATACAGAGCGAGCCTTGGGGAGCAGGGACTGGGTCGGAGCCGCTAATTCCAGCTAATTAGCGTTAGTAATGAACTAATTACAACTAATTCGGATTTATTTCCAGAGCTGGTCGTCAGATCCTCTCCTGCCGCTGCGACGGGGCTTTCCCGGGCAAGAGAAAGTCTGAAACCAGACCCAGCGACCGTCGTCAAAGTTTAATTACCGTTAATTAGCTGGGACTTGGTCCCACCGGGCAGGAGGTGCTGGGGACCCTCCCGTGGTGGCTGGATGGGTGCAACCGGGGTGGGACCCCCAGGTCATCACGGCAGAGCCTGGAACCACCAATTTTGAGCGGTTTTGACACATTTTTATACTTTTTTTTTCTCCTTGTGCTTCTACAACCCCTCGGGTCCCTTCGGATAAGGGAAACCTCGCCGCTAACTGGACGAGGATCTTCGTTAGTCGGTAATTAGGGAGAAGTGTCCCTGTTTGTGGCTGGTGCTGTGGCTAGAC